CATCAGGCCAAGCGACCCAGAATAAACTCTGCCGGGGGAAGGGGGAGGCGGGGGGGACCTCCAGCATCTCCCCCCTCACCGAGCAATAGGGGGACACACACACACAGGCAGATAATTCCGCTTCTACAAACCGCTCAGTGCAACAGCAAAGTCCCGCACACGCTAAAACCAATGCCCTCGCTCCCCCCGTGCCACAGAAACTCGCTGGGAGAGGCCTTGGCACCATCATCGGCTCAGTCTTCCCCGGCCGGGGCTCAGCCCACGAAGCACCGGGGGAAGGGTGAGCCATGGCCAGCCGGCACCCCCGGGGGCGCAGCGCCCGGTTGGAGCGGTCGGAAATCACCCGGAACACCCCGGTTGTTGTTCCTGCTACAGGTTAGGCTTCTCAACAGGGAGATGCTGAAGCCCAGCACGCGGTCAGGAAATATCACACACAGTTGTCGTCGTCGTCGTCGTCGTCGTCGTCCCCCCCCCAGCTCTGCCGGCCCCGACGTACTGCACCGTTACTCACAGCCCGCCAAAGCTCCCGGCCCCCACCGCAACCTCCTCCACCCTGACTAGAGATTTTTAAGAATTAAGCCCTTTTTCCTTCAAAGGTCCAAACAGCCAGGGGAAAAAAAATAATCAAAAAAACAAAAAAAAAAACACACCTCAAAGCAGACACAGAAACATCTAAACATCTTCAGGGACCAACATCCTTTCTCTGAACCTATCCTGAAGGAGAGACCCTCCTCCCCAAACCTCCCTCATTCAATAAGCATAGAATCATAGAACGGTTTGGGCTGGAAGGGACCTCTAAAGGCCAACGAGTCCAACTCCCCTGCCATGAGCAGGGACATCTCCCACTAGATCAGGTTGCTCAGAGCCCCGTCCAACCTGACCTGGAATGTTTCCAGGGATGGGGCATCCACCACCTCTCTGGGCAACCTGGGCCAGGGTTTCACCACCCTCAGATTAAAAAATTTCTTCCTTCTATCTAGTCAAAATCTGCCCTCTTCTAGTTTAAAGCCATTACCCCTTGTCCTGTTGCAACAGGCTCTGCTAAAAAGTCTGTCTCCATCTTTCTTTATAAGCACCCTTTAGGTATTGGAAGGCGGTTATAAGGTTTCCCCGGAGCCTTCTCTTCTCCAGGCTGAATAACCCCAACTCTCTCAGCCTGTCCTCACAGCAGAGGTGCTCCAGCCCTCGGATCATCTTTGTGGCCTCCTCTGGACCTGCTCCAACATGTCCATGTCCTTCTTCAGCCCCAGGGCTGGATGCAGTACTCCAGGTGGGGTCCAGCCTACCAGAGCTCTCCTAAACCAGTAGAACTCAAGACCTCAAAAAAACAGAGAGAAACGAGCTTTCTGAAGCAGCCCAGCCAACCCTCACTCCTCCTGCCCCATCTTTCTGACTCTCCCCCACCTCCCTCCAGCAGCTGCTTCGTCCCTGTGCCCATCCTTAGCCTGTCATGCAGGCAGCACACCAGGCAGGGTGCCAGCAGCTCTTAGGGATCCAACACCGACCACAAACTTTCCCCACTGCTTTCTCCTTAACCCTTTTGGGCATCTCACACCTTCTGACACCCTCAGCCTTGCTCCCACCTCGGGCTTCATCCTAACCCGGACCGCATCGGTCCAGCCGCAGCCCTGGTGCGTCTCCGCGTGAGGACCGGCGGCATTTTAACAACAGAAAAATGGGAAGAGAGACACAACGGTGAGAAGCGGGGCTGTGCTTCAGCAGCAAACGCTCCTAAGCATCAGTTGGCCGTCCCCAAAAGGCTACTAAAAGCTATTTGGGCAGTGTGAAGAAGAGGCCAAAGAGCGTCTGGACACCAGCATCGCACGGCCTAAGCCAGTTCACCTCAGTGCAAACAAAAGCCAGCGGCCCCCAAACCGCCCGGTGTGCCGAAACCTGCCTTGTGCCGCCGTCTCCG